TTGGTCCTGTGCAGAAAGAATAAAACCTTTCGTTTCAGATTTTAATCCTGCACTACGCAAGCATAGATGAGTATGGCGATTGTTTATATCAGCTTGTTTAGTGCGGGCAGAGTATTGACCATGAAGAGATTTATCTTGTCATAATTTCTGCATTTGGTACATTGTTTTTGCTTTCTGTTTTATGTTCTTTGCCGCTGAAGTAGGTGCATTAGTGTTTACTTGCTCTTCTTCGTTCACTTGAAATTCCATTTCGAATTTGTTGACTTCCATTATTACTGAATAAGGTTCATTATTTCTTTTATTTTCTTTAACACAGATCACCATCCAGTCTTCTGTAGTCTCCAGGTATCTTTGAAGACCGATTGTTGTGGTTTTATAATACAGTTCTAGTTGAACTAATCCTCTGCCTCCTTCGGATCTGGACACATACAGACAATCAACATCAGCCTTAGGATGATGTCTATTGTCTGTGTATCTGTTATGGGATCTTACCCATAATAATAATAATAATAATAATGGACTATTCCATACTTAATAAATACTGCGCCTCAGCAATAGTTCAAGTGAGTCAGTAGTTCAAGTGAGTCAGTAGTTCGAGTCAGTCAGTAGTTCAAGTCGAGTCAAGAGTCGAGTCAGAGGCAGTCCGAAATAGAGTCGCGTTCAGACAATTACTGTAAGACATTGGAATAGTGATACTGGTCGAGACTACCTTGTTCTCTCTACTAAACCTGATTGTTCATACTAACACTTCTACTTCTCTGTATATATTCCTGTTTGTAATATATCTGTCTTATTCCATACCTGTGTTCGAGTTCATCTTTATTGGTTCTACCTTGGACTATCACCGTGGTACAAGGAACCGGACCATAACAGTATCAAGTGAGAAGCTTTCTCGTTTTGACATCCATTCGCTTAATGTCAGTTACGGTCTAGTTAACGAGAAACTGCATTGTACCACAAGGACAGCCAAAGTATTTATGGCTGATATTGTTTTGTGAATTCAACTCGGTATTTAACACCAGACGCACACATCTGTAGTGTCCGTTTCTTACTTTTTCCTTTATTTGGGTATGTTGTATTCCATCTCCTTCGCTGACCCCTAGATATTTATAGGCTTCTTCGGTAAATTTGCAGATTAAGTCCCGGAAACCAATTATAATGAAACTTTCCATTCTGGTGTGAAATTGCCTGATTAATTCTAAAATGTCGATAAAAGTTTGCGGAAGAAAATCGTTTAGAAGTTATCGACAACATAATTTCAGCTTTATTCGCGCCTATCCCGGCTACCATTACTGGCGTTGTTTGCCGTGAGTAATAATGCGCGGAAGCTTACTCAGTTCACGGCCTTTTTACTGATCTTCTTATCTTCTTATTCGTCTTGATTACTGCGTAATTCACGAAATTTAATTTAATGTTCGCGCATTGAGCAATAATCAAAACAAGTGAAGCTGCCGAGCATTACTACTCAAGGCAAACGTATGTAAACAAAGCCAGTATAGGCGGCCGGGCTGTAAGGGGGGGGGCAGGTTGTAAGCGCGGCGTGCATGAGGTCGAACTTATATTGTCGGTAACTCCTAAACTGTTTTTTCCGCAAACTTTTATTGTTATTTTCGAAATAGGCTTGAAAATTTACACCAAATTTGAAATTTTCATTACAATTGGTTTTCAGGGTCTAATCTGCAAATTTGCCGCTTCTTCTTAATTTGCAAATTTACCGCTTCTTTTTAATTTGCATATTTACCGCCTCTTTTAATCTGAAAATTTACCGCTTCTTAATCTGCAAATTTACCGCTTCTTTTAATCTGAAAATTTACCGCTTCTTCTTAATTTGCATATTTACCGCTTCTTTTAATCTGAAAATTTACCGCTTCTTAATCTGCATATTTACCGCTTCTTCTTAATTTGCATATTTACCGCTTCTTTTAATCTGAAAATTTACCGCTTCTTCTTAATCTGCAAATTTACCACTTCTTGTTCCAATTCACTAATTCTTGTGACAAAATAGAGATCTGTTTAACGTGTTTTGAACATTTATCTAATCCAAAGTTCATACCGATATGATCACTGAAACATATTGAGGAGACCTTTCAACTCATTGTTGCATTTGACAAAAGGTTTGTGGTCATCCATATAGAATAAGTGATTAAATACTTTGTTGTTTATTTTGTATCCCTAGTTATTACTGTTTAGTTCATGTGAAAAGGGTGACAGGGTAGGAAAAGACAAAACAGAAGTAACAGAGAGTTTCCTTGAAAAATTCCTTGTCGGATTTGTGATTTAGTTATAATATGGTTTTCCACAGTTCCATGCTACATTTAAGGGAATTTACTATCACCGAAGAGACTTTGTACATTTCCAAAGCCTTAAGAATCCAAGACTGGGGTACACTAACAAAGGCTTAACGATAATCTATTCAAGTTGTGCTGAGATTTATGCAATTTCCCATTGTCATTTTATTTATCAATAGTCGATCTTTGCAATCATACGAGCCCTTTTCGCCTCATTTCTCTTCTAGGAAAGAATGTTGTTTTCATCGAGAAAAGTGTAAGTACAGTTTGACAGTACAGACGTGATTAACTGAAATGTAGTGAACAGACATGTTATTAACCTATATTTTTTGGATCATATGTTTCACCAGTTTTTATTAAGAGATATGTAATATCTTCATTGATTCATTTGGAATTTTCATTGGGATTATTCAATAACATTTATAAACTTTGCACAAAGGTTTTATGGATTGATGACAGATGATATACCGTCCTGGATATGACGATAAACTACATCCGCCCCGGGTGAAAACACTATGAAAGTGTAAAAATAGGTTTTAATACAGCAAAATACGTTTTCGTAAAAAAGTTACCAGCAAAATATTTTGAAAAAAAAATATTACCAGCAATACATTTTTTAAAAAAATATTACCAGCCATACATTTTAAAAAAAAATATTACTAGCAATACATTTTTGAAGAAAAAATATTATTAATACATTTTTTAAAAATATTACCAACCATACATTTTAAAAAAAAATATTACTAGTTTTTTTGAAGAAAAATATTACCAGCAATAATTTTTTTAAAAAATATTACCATTTTTAAAAAAAAAAATATTACTAGCAATACATTTTTGAAGAAAAAATATTACCAGCAATACATTTTTAAAAAATATTACCAATACATTTTTATTACTAGAATACATTTTGAAAAAAAATATTACCAGCAATACATTTTTTTAAAAAATATTACCAGCCATACATTTTAAAAAAAAATATTACTAGCAATACATTTTTGAAGAAAAAATATTACCAGCAATACATTTTTTTAAAAAAATATTACCAGCCATACATTTTAAAAAAAAATATTACTAGCAATACATTTTTGAAGAAAAAATATTACCAGCAATACATTTTTGAAGAAAACATTATTACCAGCAATACATTTTTGAAGATAAAATTATTACCAGCAATACATTTTTTAAGAAAAATATTAGCAGAAATACATTTTTGAAGAAAAAATATTAGCAACAATAAAAATTTTGTCGGCATTAAATAATCCCGTGAGTTTGATATGCCATTAAACAAAATAAACCCAAACCAGATGATATAGTCAAAAGTTGGGTACCTTATTATTTCCTGGGGATTGCAATGTTTTGATTTTGTAAAGAATTTTCCATAGATTATTGTGGTGTATTTGATTATTATTATTATTATTATTATTATTATTATTATTTCCTTTGATTTCTAATGTCTATTCATTTCCTTCCGGGTCCCGCTCAGAGACCTAAGGTCAGAAATGGCATCATGACATTTTCACTGACCAATTAAAACACACATACACACACAGACACACACACACACAGACACACACACAGACACACACACACACACAGACACACATTTTACATAGATAAAGGAAAGCCCTTCGTAAGGTGTGGGCTGTACTCGTGAGAACAATTTTTTGTATTTCTTTAAGGCATCGGTTTCCAGGAATCCTTTCAATGTGTCTACTAGAAACTTTTCCAACCAATCCGAGGGCTGCAACTACAACAGGGATCATTGATGTTCCCATTATTATTATTATTATTATTATTATTATTTTATTTTCCTAACATACCTTCATTTTATTTTATGTTATGCGTAGGGAGGTCAATTTACAAGAAATTTGCATAGCAAACTGAACCTCTGCTGTTACAATTTCGAAAATTTTAATTTTACACACACACATATACACATACACACACACACACAGGCATATATATATATATATATATATATATATATATATATATATATATATATATATATATATATATAGTGTAACCCAGATATAAGAGAAACCCGGATATAAGAGAGATTTTCTCTGGTCCCAAATTAGAGCCTGTGTTAATGTATATAAAATAGACCAAACCCGGATATAATAGAAACCCTCATATAATAGACTTCTTCTCAGGTCCCGACAACTCTATATATATCCGGTTATATATATATATATATATATATATATATATATATATATAAGATATCGCACATTGAGTGCTGCTGTTAATAAAATAGTGCTCGATGTAATATAACAGAGCTATTAAGCATATATTAGTAAATTTGTAATATGTATTTTTCATCCTTTGTCGCACTGACGGTTACATAATTTAAATTTTAATAAAAATATCTGGTTAACGCAATGTTCGCGCAGTTCATATATTTGACGGGGATTGCTGGTTTTTAAAAAATTGTACTTAAAATAAACACGATTTATATTTTATATTTAAAATAGTCGGGAATTAATGGTTTTTAAACTTTGTATTAAAAAAAATGCACCTATAGATATAAAAAAAAAGACGTTTCGCCAAGAACAGCATGGAAACATAACGAAAAATCAGTGAACATCATTGGATGTTGTCAAGCCGCAGGTGTTACACCAGTTTTCCTTCTCCTAGTTGGATAACTAAAAGATGCCTATGGACTCAAACACTGCCAGTTAATATACCTGGACTACAATCCAAGTATTTCTATGTTAGATGGGCGTTGATCCCAATAGATAGATAGATAGATAGATAGATAGATAGATAGATAGATAGATAGATAGATAGATAAGGAACAGACTGAGATAGATAGATAGATAGATAGATAGATAGATAGATAGATAGATAGATAGATAGATAGATAATAGATAACAGATTGAACATAGATAGATAGATAGATAGATAGATAAGGAACAGATTGAGATAGATAGATAGATAGATAGATAAGGAACAGATTGAGATAGATAGATAGATAGATAGATAGATAGATAGATAGATAGATAAGGAACAGATTGAGATAGATAGATAGATAGATAGATAGATAGATAGATAGATCATGAAGAGAATGAAATAGATAGATAAGGAACAGACTGATAGATAGATAGATAGATAGATAGATAGATAGATAGATAGATAGATCATGAAGAGAATGAAATAGACTAGGAACATATAGTTAGATAGAACATAGATAGATAGATAGATAGATAAATTCATTTGAACTGGGAGAGAGAGAGAACATACCGGGAGACAGAAATTCATACTGGGAGAGAGGAGAGAGAGAGAGAGAGAGAGATTAGAAGATACAAAAATAGGTTTTGCTGTAACCCAGTATTTTATCTTACGTCAAAAACTGTTTTATCTTTTGGCAATCCAGTTCGATAATGATAGTATTCAAAATACTGTTCAATGTTATGCTTAATAGTCTCTGATTCGTAGGCTATGCCTTTGATGTAGCTCCGGACTGGAACTTGTAAGGCACTGCTACTTGGATCCCACTGATCAGCAGCTGCAAAAGAAACAATACAATTTTCCCTTAATAAATAACTTAAAGAAGGATGCTGGAGGAATTACTGTTGGCTATATATATATATATATATATATATATATATAAGGCAGGATGTGTGTGTGTATGTGTAACGAATGCACGGCTGCAATTTTCGACGGATTTGCACCAAAATTTACATGCACATGCTCCAAGTTAGCGGGAAGGCATTTCCCAACTCCCATCGATCGTGGAAATAATCGATTTTTTCATGCTTCTACGGCAGTTTTCATGCAGTTTGCGGCCATTTTCTACTGGCCAGAGTGAGAGCCTATAGCTGGCTGCCACGAATAGGCAGGAAGATTCTATTGGCCAGCGTGAGAGCCAACAGCTGACTGACACGAATGTTAACTAACATGCTAGCATGCAAAAAAATCGATAGCTGCATTCGTCACAAGTGGGAAAAATTTAAATCTGCATGGAACTTTACTCCAATTGGCACATTCGCTTGCTTAAACTCAACATTGATTCTGATTCCGCAGAACTGGGTTGGGTGTGAAAAAGTATTTGTTGTTAACATTCTTTTTTCATTCGGTTTTTCCAGTTACGAGTCCTTTTTTTAAAGTTGATCGTTTTGTGCTCATTTTTTTCAGTTCATTTTTCGTAACAGATTTAATGTTTAGAGCTTAGAAAAAATTCGCAGTGTGAGATAGGCAAGAAGTAAAGCATGTAGCAACATCAGCACGGCAAAGGGCACTCCTTTAAAGGCAAGGAAGGGCAAAAATTTTTTAAGTCAAGTGATAGCGATTGCTGTATGAGTCGTACGGTTTTTGAATTGAGCACGGGCAACGCCGGGCCATGCTGCTAGTATATATATATATATATATATTTATATGTATATATATTCACCGCTACTCGCAGCATGAATGTCGTTCTGTTTCTGGGTCCGAGAAGAGAACATCCAAAGCGAATATGTTCTTTAAGCATTTGCTTAAAGTCATGCTTAAGACAGAAAGAAAGAAGCTTACTTCATCGAAATTCGACCAAAGATGTGTAAATGTTGCACGTTTTTGTAGGGTAGAAGGCGTTGATTTGAAGTGAGAATTCGGGTGTGTAAAAGGATTTTGAAGCTCTGAAATCTGAAGGAAGTACAGCTTACTTTTGGCTTTTTAATTTTTATTTAAGTCTCCGTTTTTGTTTTTTTTTTGTGGGAGGGGAGGTCAACTTAGCTAGAGCATGTAAGTGCAAACACATACGAGAGATATCCGAAAAAACATGTTCAAACATTTGCTAGGGAAATGAAAAAGCAAGTTGAAAAAATTGGCTAGGGATGTCCGAAAAGCAAAATCGAAATATTAGCAAGGAATGTCTGAAAAACGTTTAGATTTGCTAGGAAGATTCGAAAAGAAAGATGAAAATTTTTGCTAGGGATGTCCGAAAAGCAAGATGCAAATATTAGCTATGAATATCCGAAAAGCAAGATGTTAACATTTATTAGGGATATTCGAAAACAAGGTGCCAATATTTGCTAGGGATTTCCGAAAAACAAGATGCAAATATTAGCTATGAATTTCCGAAAAGCAAGATGTTAACAAGATGCAAAACAAGGTGCCAATAGATGCTATGAATTTCCGAAAAGCAAGATGTTAACATTTATTAGGGATATTCGAAAACAAGGTGCCAATATTTGTTAGGGATGTCCGAAAAGCAAGATGCAAATATTAGCTATAAATGTCCGAAAAGCAAGATGTTAACATTTATTAGGGATATCCGAAAACAATCTGCAAATATTTGCTTGGGATGTTTGAAAGGCAGAGTGCGAATATTACTAGAGACGTCCGATAAGGTGCAAACGTTTGCTTGGGATGTTCGAAAATCAAGTTTCAAACGTTTGCTAGGGATGTCCATAAAGCATGATGCAAACATTTACGAATTATGTCAGGTCAATACTGGTTGGACTCTCCCGTCGTATTCGACGTATGAGTGTCAATCAACTCAGTCCCTAAAAACTGACATCCAAACTATTTGAACAAATCATTTGATTATATTGGTGAAGGTTTAGGCAGAACCAACCACACTTTTTGAAGAGCCGAATACAGAGAACTGGTGTACAATGTACCACAAGTTCCTCAAACAAATCTCGGCAGCTTTTGAATTCAGAGTTTTCCTTCTCATAGATTGGTTGTCACCCAATGCTATAGAATCCGGTCTGTCCTGCTATTTATCCATAGCTTGGGAAGAAGAGGATTCATACCTTTCCCAAGGGTATTAGCAAATAGATTCGACTAGAATTCGAATTCGGCTCTCCGAACTGCTATCTCTTACACCATCGTGCCTCCATGCCGGGTCGATAGATATACACAAACCTACATAAATATAAACTAGTAAATATAATTGTATGTTTCTATGTTAGCCCTAACTGGAGGTGGGGAGTCAGATTAACACAATTCCGAGTTGATTATAGGTTTATTAAAAAAATCAGGTATTAATTATAGGTTTATTTTTTAAAAATCAGATATTAATTATAGGTTTTAAAAACAATCAAGTATTAATTATAGGTTTATAAAGACAATCAGGTATGAATTATAGGTTTATTTTTAAAAAATCGGGTATTAATTATAGGTTTTTAAAAACAATCAGGTATGAATTATAGGTTTATTTTTTAAAAAATCAAGTATTAATTATAGGTTTTTAAAAACAATCCAGAAAAGAGAAGTAAAAGAAAAAAAGAAAAAGAAAGTATATTCACTTACTGGAAAAATACCAATTAATCTCCAGATCTGCCCTGGGATCCTGCAAATTCAAGCATGAATACCAATGATCCGTGTTGATCCCTCGAATGACCTTTGATCCCTTGTAGATTTCTATTTGTCCAGGAGAACTGAACCGTAGGGCAGCCGAAGGAGACAATATTTGACGGGTGCCATTTTTTACCTTAAAACCCATCATATGATCACCTGCATAGATCGGGACGGATATGCACAAATCTGTAACAGAAATAATAATAATAATAATAACGAAAAACGATAATTTCTGTTTGTTCCCCCAAATTTTCATTTATCTATTTATTTTATTCTTTTTTGGTCAAGTGTGATGGAGGGAGCTGTTTTTGAAGACTCCACTTCACAGACCTTATCACTGGTCATAAAACACGAAATACTTCAGATAAATGAAATCATATATAATCATGTCCCATTCATAATGTCGGATTATTAGTACTCTTCAGGTGTACTGTTTCTTTCAGATTGTATAATGGTGAATACAATTATTGATATTCTGACAATTTTGAGGCATTATATTAAACTTTGTCTCAAAGCCACTGAAGCTGCACATAACATTTTGGAAGTGGAAGAAAATGGGACAGACTTTTCTTCTTTTATGTGCCATGTCTCTTCAGGACATAGGCGACCATAGCTCTCCACTCGGGTATGACGATAAACTGCATCCGAATCCTGGGTAAGATGATAAACTACGTTCAGAAGCAAGGCCTCTGATCAAGAAGTTTTGAGGAGCGTGGAACCACCTCTTAATTGCTGGTGTTCCCAGGTCCACCTTGACCCAGGGTGGTAGCACCTGTTAAGATCCCAGCTATGGGCTTAGTTACCCCCCCCCCACACAAAAGGGGTCAAAACAATATGAAAGTGTAAAAATAGGTTTTGATACCAGAAATACTTTGTAAAATATTATTACCAGCAATTATTTTTTTGAAAAAAAAATTACCAGCAATACTTTTTTTGAAAAAAAATATTACCAGCAATAAAAATTTTGTCGACATTAAGTAACCTATTGAGGTTGATATACCGTAAAAAAAAAACAAAACCAAAGATAGCCGTCCATCTCCTCCTGTCCCTTGTCGCTCTTAATAATTTTCGTTTTTTTTTGTTTTTTCTCCTAGACCCTATTCCGCCATCCACTGGTTCAAGCCCATTAAGTATGTCTTGCGTTGTCCACCACTTTCCCCTTTATCCGTTCTGTGAGTATCAGATTTTCTTAGCCCTCTTTTCTCATTACGTGTCCCAGAAATTTCAACTGTCTCTTCCTGATGTTAAGTATACGTTTTCTTTTTCCTATCGTCTCCAAAATCTTGTCGTTGCTCACATGTTCGGTCCATGGTATCCTTAGCATCCTTCTGTAGAACCACATCTCTTCTTCATCTTTGTGGAGGTTGTCCAGCATTCACTTCCATACAGCAAGACAGGTATCACATAACACTTCAGTACTCTTTTCTTTGTTTCTTACGAAAATTTTCTGTCTCTTAATACTCAGCTTAGCTTTTGAAATGCATCTTTGGCCATCCCAATACGTTTTTGGATTTCAGTGTCCGAAAATAGCTTAAACTTTTTAAGAGTAGTTTCCCCCACCCCTTTGTCGTAGACGACAATTAGTTGTCGATAAATGGTGCTTTAAATTACAAGGGAGAAGAAAAACTGACGGAGTGACTAACGTTTACTAGTACTACGGTCTTGGAGGTTGACAACGATTTGAATAATAATAATAACAATTGAATAAATAGAATAAGCCTAATTGACTAAAATAGTGATGCAATCTCGTCACAATATTTTGACAAGTACTTCTCTGGCCCAGTCGAATAAACGTATTATTATAATTGAGCTAAATTAACTAACGTTTATATTGTAATTAAGTTGAATACTAATTGTTTATCAAAAGCGGCTCTAGCACAAGAATATGCGAGGTTATCTGATTTAAAATGTTAGTTATTATTCTTAGGTGTTCTTTGAATTCAGTCTTCACCATCGTAATTATACGTGGGTTTATAAACTCCATTTAGTCAGTCGTTTAATTAAGTCATTGTCTTTTTCTAAGTGATATTACATGTTATTAGTAATGATGTTACAAGGTGATGTGTCTAGTGATCGTGCTTGGATGTGCGGCTGGTGTAATGGATAACGACACGGAATTAGAAATGTTGTATAGCCCCTTGATGGGAGTGGTCTTGGGCGACGGTGATCGCTCTACAATAAAGTTGCATTCTTTTTTCATTGCCGGTGATCGCTAGTTGTTTTGATTCAAGATGGAAGGAACTTCAACACATGGAATTTTAACTTAGCTATTTTATTAACGTCGACGTATACATCTCTAGGTGAGGTCGCTCTCCCTCCGCTGGGGAGCCGTTTCAGACACGAAAGTCAACACGTCTACATTGCTTGACGGTTAAGAAACAACTCCCTGGAAAATCTTTCTATATCTCTATCATACCCACGCTCGTTCAGCCAATCAAAATCGACTTCCTTATTTTATCTTGTGTCTGATCCCTAAGGTCAACCTGCGAAAATCAGAGCAGAGATACACTTCCCCCTAAAAAATAATAGACTGCTTAACTATTATGTAACAGATATCGGAGAGCCGAGTTCCAATTTCCGTTGGGTTCGTTATATTCATATTCGTTATATTCATATATGTTCAAATACCCTTGGAAAATGTATGAATTCAGCTCTTCTCCCACAGCTATGGGATAATTAGTAAGACTCCTATCACTAAATAATTATTATCCCACTCCAAAATCTTACAAATCTAAAACTATTTTCTTGTCTTAAATAACCTGAAACAGGTTGATAATCCGTAAAAAACGAATCAATCACTGAAATAGGGATTAACTACACAAGCATATATTTTAGAAATGTATAGAAACTACAGCGGGCACAAAGTGAGGGATCGGTCTATATATCGATTGTAATATACTTTATATACACATTATAATTGTTTGTTTATCAAATTCTGATTAGGCATAAATCCATCTCTTCTCCCACCCACCTTGTGGTCATGTTCATAGTTGTTTTGTTTTTTTTTTTGTTTTTTTTTGTTACATATATACACTAAGGAATGCTGAAAAGTCTTTTGACTAACACGCTTATTAAATTATAAACAAATATTAGATTTTTTATGAGAATGTCGAAACAGAAACTTTTCAGCATCTCCTTACATACACACATATATTACACAACAACCACTCTTCCACACAGACTCACATACTATTTAAACACACATTAACATTAATGCAATTAAAACACTTTAACATTAGGAAGCTCCTCTTTAACAATACCAGGCTTACAGCTATATCATTTTGAAACCCTGGATCTCGTACAATCACCGAAGTTAAGCAACGTCGAGCCTGGTCAGTACCTAGAGGAGTATGAATCTTTAACATGATTAAAATCCTCCATAAATCTAATTACAAAAAAAGAGTACAGATTGTAGGAGCCATTTACATTTAACAAAAATGACCGTCCATTAATTAAAATAACTAACTCCATATTCTTACATACAGAGTCCGCAAAAAAAGTTATACACACTTAAGAAAAGAAAAAAAACTTGTATAAATATTGTAATACTAAATTTATTCACTCATCTCGAGATTAATACAAGTTACCTTAGGACTCTAGAATCCCAAGAGATGCTCAAAATGGTGGCCTTTAGCTTCCAGACATTTATTAATACGACGAACTATTGTTTGGAGAAAGTTGATCAAAGCGTTTAGTGGGATTACTGCACAATTTTCAATTTCTTGTCTAAGGGCCACCAATGTAGTCGGTTTATTGCGATACACAACATCCTTTAGAGTACCCCAGAATTAAAAGTCTGCAGGTGTTGACTCAGGAAAATAGTGTAAATAGTGTCATCGCAATTTGATAAAAATACGAAAGACAAGTTTTTCCTTTCCTAAAGTATCTACACATTTTTGGTAAACTCTGTGAGAACCGTTGTTTTAAAATGATATGGCCGTAAGTCAGTAAAACGCTGTAAGTCATCATGTAATGGCAATGTGTATTGGTAATGATTATATATATATATATATATATATATATATATATATATTCAATAATATCACGCTGAGACACCTGTTCACGTACGATCGTCGAAGTTAAGCAACGTTGAGCCTGGGATACCAGGTGCTGTAAGCTTGGTCAGTGTAATGGATAACAGCTCGGAATTGCTATCTTTAGTTCTGTTATTGTAAATGATTCGTAATGTGATATAGAAATATTTTGAATTCCCGAACATGGCCAGTATATTATGACCATTTTCGTAGTTGATGTTGTTATGGGTTGTTGTTTTTTGTTACATAGATGCACTAGCGAATGCTGAGAAGTCTTTTGACCAACACGCTTTTAAATTATGACCTTAGGAAAGGTATGAATACCCCTCCAGCTCGCACTTGTATCAATAGTACATTATTATCTCTCAAAAATTTTTACATTCTAAAAGACTTTTTTTTCGCTTTTTGCAAAAAGTTAATAAACCGTTAAAAAAAGCCGTAAAAATCAAATCAGCCAATCAATCCAGACCTGGCAAATGACAGTGAAGCCATTTTGGATACTGCATCATCCTATTCCAAACTGAGAGATGGATTCCATCCAGGATTTCGATTTTCAAGAAATGCTTTCATGGTAATTGTTTGCGTTAGCAATTCGCTATGGTACCTAGACTTCATGAATTTAAGCGAAGTACTAGATTAGCGTCAAAATTTTTATTATTTTACAGTCGAAATGGTTAGATGGAACCGTAAGTTCTATACTAACAGTTTCTTTTCTCGCACATCTTGCTCATTGAAAACTTTCCGCCTTCTGGCTTTAAGCATATAATGAATTTAAGCATGATGTACTATTGAAGCATATAATGAATTTAAGCTAGAGGTACTATCGAAACATATAATGAATTTAAGCTAGATGTACTATCGAAATATATAATGAATTTAAGCTAGATGTACTATCGAAATATATAATGAATTTAAGCTAGATGTACTATCGAAATATATAATGAATTTAAGCTAGAGGTACTATCGAAACATATAATGAATTTAAGCAAGATGTACTATTGAAGCATATAATGAATTTAAACAAAACATATAAATGAGGTACAAGATGTACTATTGAAGCATATCGAAAAACATATAATGTAAATCAGGAAGAAACTTATTGTCAATGAGAACC